AAAAAGGAGAAAAAAATGTAATTTTGCTGATTTCAGTGAAAAAATACTCATCATGACTAATGTGACCAGTGTGATTACAGTTCTAGGGATCAGTTTAGAAATATGATAACCCTTTTCAGCAGCCCAAAAATGAAAAAATGAACCTGATCAATAGAACTTTCCTCCTGCAAAAGAAAGAAAGAAAGAAAGAAAGAAAGAAAGAAAGAAAGAAAGAAAGAAAGAAAGAAAGAACAAAGGAAAGAAGGAAAGAAGGAAGGAAGGAAAAAAAGAAAGAAAGAGGCAGAAAGCCCATAATCAGGAAACAGCAGAGTTATTTTGACAGATATATGAATATTAAAAGAATTCTGGATATTATGCTTTCACTTTACATGAGTAAATGTGAAAGAAGATGGTAATGGAGAAGAGAATCTTAATGCAAGCATCCTGGTTTTTGTCTGTCAGTCTGTCTGCCTCTCTCTCCCTCCCCCCCTCTATCTATCATCTTTTTTTCCCTTTCCCTCCTTCCCTCCCTCCCTCCCATCTATCACCATCATTTATCAATCAATATCTCTTAGTTGTATGTACTGCAATTCTGTAATCTCTTCTGTATCTGTATTTCCCTTCTTGTTCTATTGATTTCAGTGAACATTGATTAGGATTTTAGTTTTTAATTTACTTGGCCTTGCAGAAGGACACATAAATGTACATTATAGGTTTCTATTTAAGCCCTTCTTCCACTACCATTTTTTTTTTCTTTCAATATGGGAAAAATCTGACTTGGATATTGCTACGTCTAAATTTTTATTTTTGCATGATATTTCATCTTCTCCAAGCATGTTTGTATGTTTGTGTACACCCAAAAGCATATAAACTAAAATAATTAGGAATACTACTAGTTTTGTCATTTAAATAAAAACAAAAAGACATGTATTGCTTTATTTCAGTAAAAAAGAAAGACTTCATAAAATAACATCCATATAAAAATATTGTGTACATTTCTTGATATTTAAAAAAAAGGGGGGGAATCACTGGAATCAATTCAAACAACTTTACAATTTGCATTAAAATGAAATTATTCCATGCAATAATTCAGCTGCATGATTCTACTTGCCTTGATGAACTCCATGTATCTGAAACTAGCTTATTCTTCAAGAGGGCAATCAGAAGTATAAGTAGAAAAGCATAGGCAAACAAGGTATATGAAAATGGAAGTATAAGAGAAGCAGTATGTAGATATATTTTGAAATAATAGCCAAATTCTATGTAAGTTATCAATATATTTTCCTGTGTAAAATCCACCATAAATAGTGTATACAAATAAAGTCATTTCATCAACATATAATATGCAAACCCAGGGGAACAAAATCTCTAAAGGATCAGACTCCAGAGCTTAAAATTAACAAATAAGGAACTTTGTCAAGTCTTATTAGAGATACCATCTTGCTTTCTAACAGCAAATGGAAAATTTGGAATCGACAAGTTAGTCCTTGACTTAGGTTCACAATTGAACCCAAAATTTCTGCTTCCAAGTAAGGAAAATATTAAGTGAAACCTGCCCCATTTTATTTATTTATTTATTTATTTATTTATTTTTCATATTTGTATACCGCCCTACTCCCGAAGGACTCAGGGCGGTGAACAGCCATAATAAATACAAATACATATAGAAGTTAAAAACTATTAAGAAACAGATTAAGTAATTTAGGCTCAAAGATTAAAAACATCCAAATTTATCTAAAGAGGTTTAAAACCCAATTTAAAAGCCAGTTTAAAAGCCAATTAAAAAGGGAGAGTTAGGCCAGACCAGCTTGTTGGAATAGAAATGTTTTCAGGGCACGGCGGAATATGTGTAAATCTTGGATGTTTCGTAACTCCGGGGGAAGCCCGTTCCAGATGGTAGGTGCCCCCACAGAAAAGGCTCTCCCCCTGGGGGCCGTCAGTCAACATTGTTTGGCCGATGGCACCCTGAGGAGTCCCTCTCTATGGGAGCAAACTGGTCGGTGAGAGGCTATTGGTGGCAGGAGGCGGTCTCGTAAGTACCCTGGTCCTGAGCCATGGAGCACTCTAAAGATAGTAACCAAAACCTTGAAGCGCACCCGGAAGACCACTGGGAGCCAGTGCAGCTCGCGCAGGAAGGGGGTTACATGAGAGCGCCACATTGCTCCCATCACCACCCGCGCGGCCGCATTCTGGACCAGTTGGAGCCTTCGGGTGCTTCTCAAGGGGAGCCCCATGTAGAGAGCATTACAATAATCCAGGCGTGAGGTGACAAGGGCGTGAGTGACTGTGCGTAACAAGCCCCGATCCAGAAAGGGATGCAACTGGCGAATCAGGCGAACCTGATAAAAAGTCCTCCTGGCTACGGCCGTCATATGCTCTTCAAAAGACAGCCGTGAGTCCAGGAGGATGCCCAAATTGCGAACCCCATCTGTGGGGGCCAACGACTCACCCCCAATAGTCAGAGATGGCGCCAACTGACTCTATCGGGACGACGGAAACCACAGCCACTCGGTCTTGGATGGGTTGAGTCTGAGTTTGTTCCTCCCCATCCAGATCCGTACGGCCTCCAGGCACCGGGACATCACCTCGAGGGCATCATTGGGGTGGTCTGGGGTGGAGATGTACAGCTGGGTGTCATCAGCGTACTGATGGTACTTCACCCCAAAACCACGGATGATCTCACCCAGCGGCTTCACATAAATGCTGAATAGAAGGGGCAAGAGGACCGATCCTTTATGACCTTTTTTGCTGTAAATCATGTGTTCATTAAGTGAATCTGGCTTCTCTGACTTTAATTGTCAGAAGCTCCCTAGGAAGATTGCAAATGATAATTCCAGGGCCTTGGGGCACTATAACTGTTGTAAATATATGCAGGCTGAAAAGCATCTGGTTTGATCACACGATTATGGAGATGCTGCAATGGTCACAAATGAGAGAACTGATCATAAGTCTTTTTTTTTTCAATGACATTGTAACTTTGAATGGTCATTAAATGAATGGTTGTAAGTCAAAGATTACCTATACTTACCTAAAGGCAGCAAGATTATTAGAAAATGATTAAGAAGAAGGCAAATCACTGATTAACTTAAGTAGATTCAATTAACTTAATTTTAGAGTGTGATTTATAATTTTAGGAAAGCTAAGGAGTTCCTTTATTAAAGGAATTATTTTATGAACAACATAAACTCCTATGGAGTAATGTAACTGTTGAAATGGAGTGCAGTTAAGTACAGCAATCTACAAACATATTGTTCCTGTCTCAATTTATATCCAGATACTACTAAATCTCTTATATCTGTAATATTCAACTGGGTGAAATATAGGGCAACAATTTTTGAACCAGTTAGCTCAAATGTATAAACTTGCAAAATATATTCAAAATCCAGGGCCCATGAGTCCTGTGGGACTGAAATTCAGCAAATCTGTAGCTTCAGTACTTCATGCCACCTTGGCCTGGAGATTGGGAACCCCAGACATAAATTGATCCAACCCTAGCCTTTCAGACCCCCCCCCCATCAGCCCCTGTAGGGCAGACCGATGTGGTCAAGTGAAAAAGAAGTTATAAGTTGTTCCCACTGGTTTGTTTTCTCCCTTGGTCATTTAGTTTTTCTGTTTAGATAAAGAAATCTCTGAAATGATGACCTAGGGGTCACCAGTTTTTAACATATACTAGATTCTGCAACACTTTGAAGATTATTTGGGAAAGTTGCTTTAAAGTACAGTATACCATGAACATAATACAAAACTAACTCTGTAAAGCATTTTCAGTATTAAAATTGAAACTTTCAGTGCAAAAAAGAATATTATAGAGTTGCATAGATAATAGTAAAATGGCAGCTTGCAAATTAATTAAAAATGGAAAAAATCCAAAAGAGAACACAGTTATCCAGATAAACTGCAAAGAGGGTTTGATTTGTACATCCCAAATACAGGATATATACATTGATGATAAAACATCTTTGTGTATGTGTATGTTTATATGTATATGTATATGTATGTGCATGTGCATATACATTCATTCATTCATTCATTCATTCATTCATTCATTCATTCATTTTCTATAGCCACCTACATTAACAAAGTGATTCTGGAGGGCTTACAATTCTAAACTTCTAAAATAGTTAAAAATAACTTAAAAGTCTTTAAAACAATAAAAACATACAGAAAATAAATAAGTATAAACAGTAGCCATGGTGAATCAACTAATAGTGGACCCAAGTAACAGGCCACTTCGCACATTCTGAGGCCCAGGCTCAGGTACAAAGACAAGTTTTTAAAGGTTTCTGAAAAGTAAACAGGGTTGAAACCATTCTAAAGGAAGAATATTATATAAGGCAGGGGCTGCAGCAAATAAGGACCTTTTCTAGTTTCTGCTAGTTGGCACTCTTTGGCTGATGGGAATTGCAGCATGCTCAATCTGCTGAATCTGATCAGACAGGTAAAAGACAATCCCTGAGCTAATTTAGTCCCAAATCATGTAGAAGCCCCCTCTGCATGTGACCTCCTATGGATCAAGAGATAAGACACAGGATCTGCTCAAATAGAGGCAAGTCCTCATAGTCAGGAAGAAAATGCAACATCAAGTTTAGCATGTTGGATATTTGCTGATAAAAATAATATCCATATTTTTACCAGCCATTGTTCAATAGGTATTATTACACGGGAAAAGCAGACAGCTTCTGAAACCACACAAAAGGTTGGAAAATCCAGCTTCCCATCTGCATGCCCCTTGAAAACATTTGAACGTAGCAAGGTAGAGTAGGTGAAGCCTGCCATAGTAAAAAAGAAGAATAACCTTTGTTCTATAATCAAAGGCCAATGGGCCTCTCTAGGAGTTACTGTATGCTTTAGCAGTATATTCCATCATCTTCACTAATTGAGGAGTTTCTAGAGTACAATAGAGAAAGAAAAAATGTCAGTGATTAAAGATGAAGACTATCATAACTGAGGTGTCAGATTGATGGAATGAAGAAGAGATGAAAAAACAGAATATGAGTGCTGGTAAATGAATAACAGATTCATTAAAATAGATATTCACTATTTATTAGGTTGTATACAAATTTCTCATACAAAAGTCTTCAGACAAAAGTTAAAGTTTTGTTCTCCTACCAGTTATCATCATCATCATCATCATCAATATCATATTCACACAAATTCATTTGTTACTTTAGGATGTCACACAACCACAGACTTTGAGAATTCCTGTTGTATACAATAAACATCTGAATATGCTTCATAAGTAGATATAGGGATGTGTTTTTTAGGGAAAATCCATCTTCCAATACATATTTTCTGACTTAATATTTGTCACTAAATGTAAGCATATCAAACTTTACAAATTAAATTCATTTGTTTTGAATTCAACCAATATATTACACATATTCCAAACAACGTGTTTTAACTAGATTTCCAAAAGAACATACATTTACTTCTCAATTAAATTCCCATGGAATGGTTAATTTATCCAACATTGAACCAATTTACACAGAAGAAGGAATCAAGGGTTTGTAGCCCATTAATTTTTTTATTATTTCCTTCACTTCTCTATTTTTCAGGCTGTAGATAAGGGGGTTCAGCATAGGTGTTGAAATCTTATATTGAATAGAGAAGAATTCATCCACAATAATTGAGGAGGCTGAGCTGGGCCTCATGTTTCTAAAGCAGGCAGTGCCATAATACAAAACTACAACAATAAGGTGAGAACTACAGGTAGAGAAAGTTTTCCTTTTTGCTTCTGCTGAATTCAACTTGAGGATAGTTGAGATGATATGGATATAGGAGACTAGGATGATAATCAATGAAGAACTTGCAACAAAACTACCAGATATCAGAAATGCCATCCAATTGGAGGTTGTTTCTGTGCAGGACAATGCAAGTAGAGATGGAAATTCACAGCTGAAATCCTTGATAAAATTTGGTCCACAGAAATCTAGCTTCAAAATAGGTAATATATTTACAAAAGCACATAAAAAACCAACTGCCCATGCACCACCCGCCAGCCATTTACAAAATGATTTATTCATAATTTGTATATAATGGAGGGGCTTGCAAATGGCTGCGTATCTGTCATAAGCCATTGCAGCAAGGACACAATCTTCAGTGCCTCCTGTAAGAAAGACAATGAATATCTGAATAAAGCAATCAGAATATGAAATAATCTTTTTCGCCCAAAAAATCACCAACAGTTTGGGTACAGTAACAGAAGACAAACACATGTCAAGAAAAGCCAGATGAGCTAGAAAAAAATACATGGGGCTGGAGAGATAACTTGTTACTACTATAATCATCATATTTCCAAATAAAGTCAAAGCATACATCAGGAAAAATGCCAGGAAAAGGAAACTATTGACTGGATAATTGTACGAAAATCCCAAAAGGACAAAAAAAGTCACGCTGGTGTTCTGATTTTTCATTTCCACTTCAGATACTGTAGAAACTTAAAAACAAGAATAGAAAATAATATTTTGTTACATAATACGATGCATTGTACAATTACATAGGAGGGGGCCAAATACCAGGGGAAAAACTATGACAGAAACTTATAGTATATTAAGAAAAACACATTTTCTATTTTCAAACCCACACAAAATGGAGAAAAAAACACTCATGTATCACATGTATTTTTTTCTAAAGTTGTATTACTTTCAAAATGTGTATTAGTTGGGATTTGGAAGGTAAAAAATAGAGAAGGATTGATACAAAATGATTGAGGAGGTTGATATACACAAACCAGGTAGTGCAGTAACACAAATTCATAACTATAAGGTGAAAACTGCACATAGGAAAATTTTTACTCTTTGTGTCTGTTGAGTTCAACTTCAGAATAGCTAATGTAGAACTTGCATCAAAACTACCAGTTATTAGGAATAAGATCCAGTTAGGAAGGTTTCTGTATAGAATAAGGCAAATGGAGATGGGAATTCAAAGCTGAAAACATTAATAAAAGTTTGTCAAAACTGATTTCAGAATTTAAACAATAATATGCCACATGAAATTACAACATACACAGATATTTGGATATATATTTTACAGGGATGCAGTTTTAAAATGTATTTATTTTTACCACTAAAGACCACAGCAATAGAATGTTATGGTCAGGAAATGTTCCTTGTAATGATAATATGTATATTAAACATAATAGAGGGTTAACATGAGAGAGAGAGGGAGAGGGAGGGAGGGAGGGAGGGAGGAAGAGAGAGAAAGAAAGAAAGAAAGAAAGAAAGAAAGAAAGAAAGAAAGAATAGAGAAACTGAAATATATCAGTGATTTTAATAAAACAACCAGAATTTATTTGTGCATTTTTGCACAATGGCGCTCTCCACCATTAATGCAAAATACAAGCCATAGGTAGGAATGAAAATATATTGTACCATTAACTCTATTTGCATAAAATTCTGTACTTCATTCCCAAGGAATTTATGATAGGATAAACACTAACAAAAACTTAGCTAATTTCAATGTGTAGCAAAATGAACTACAGAAGTCACAAAAAGGAAAAAAAATCCTATTTCAATGTTCCCTATAATATTTCCCCAACAAGTGTCTTTCAGAAAAGCTCCCACAATTTGATGAAAGATGAAGATAATTTTCAATGAAACCTATTTAGAAGGCATTGTATTGTGAAAAAATTCTCTTCAAGTATTGATAGAAATTTTGTGGAATATTTAACAATGTCTTATCCTTTGCTATCTGAACAATTCACTGAAAATTACACAGAATGAATTAGATGGGATTCTGCTTTGACCAATTTCAGAAGAGTAAAGCCAAACAGCAATCAATTTTATTTTAATATAACACTGTGTTGGATTTTCTTCATCATTTTTAGGAAAGAAACATGCTTCCTTTTCTTAGAAAACTTACCTATTCATGTCGTTCTTCTAGAAGCTCCTTGCAAGCAATCTATACTGAAGTCAAATCTATAATCTATAAAGATTTTGTAATTTTAAAGTGCTGTATCTTTTCTTGACTGCTGAAGATCTGTGATTTCTTATTTGATATGCAGATATGTCTTTGGTGTCAGTAATATCAACAGTTTCCTTTGGAACAAATGATGCCATACAGATCATAGGATTAATGTATGTACAAGAATAACATTTGAATTTATTTCCTTTCCTTGTTATTTCCAGTTGTGTCACATGTAGCCAATCCAGGCTGATAAATTTCTAATAGTCTCCAGGGCCTTTCACTTTCCTGTGCACATTAAGAGAGCATACACTGTTGAGATAACAACTCCTGGGTTTGTGTGTGTGTGTGTGTGTGTGTGTGTGTGTTTTTTGGGGGGGCATTACTGGAAAACCTGGCTTTGCCAACTCTTGTTTTTATTTCTTCACAACACTTCCAATTTTGGCTCTCAAACAAATACAGCCAGGATTTCTCTCCCCTTCTTTTATTAGCAATCATAGGAGTTTTGATTGATTCATTGATTGGTTCATTTGTTCATTCCTTTTATATAGCTGTCCAATTCAACCAAGGGACTTTAAGTGGCTTACTATTCTAAAATTGTAAATTGATTGACAGACTTCCCCTTTCAGATAAATACAACTCAATGGAATATAGTCTGGATGACAATATATTCAAGGAGGCTGTCAGTGAAAGAGATTCCATTGGATGCTCCAGAAATATTAAAATATGGTATTAAAATATAGCAGGATGTTTTGTTCTCATACAAATGGAAGAGTAAATTAGATACTTTTCAAAATGAATTCCAACCAGAAGATGTCAGCAAAAAGACTCTTATTGCACCTCTATTATTTAAGCAATGTGCTAGAAATTCTGATGGGTTATTTGTTGCAATTGAGCCCCAGGGTGGTCCAGGAATCTCTTTGCTATCCAAAAGAACTGTAAACATTTTTTTTTGTATAATTATTGCTGTTTTTGGAAAAGTTAGTTTGTCTATAAGCAGGGGCTCATGGAAAAGATTCTCTCCAAATCCCTTCCTCAACCTCCCCCCTAAACCCCAATATGACTAAAATTTTAACATGACTTTTATATATGCCAACATGCTTGATTCTACCTACTGTTTTTAAATCAAACACAGGTTTACTTTATTGTTCCTCGTTTTTCTCCTTCTCTTTCTTTTTATTTTATTTTTAAAATCATTTTTAGAATTGTCAGGTGTTAATGTTTCTAGAAGTGTAAGGTTATGCATGTCAATTACGGTGATATGACAATTACAGTGATAAGATTACAAAAGCTACTAGTTTTTACTTCCTGGATATATATCCTTTTATTGTTGTTAAGCTAGCTAAGCAATTAGTTTATACGTGTACAGTCTCATATGAACTGTTGTAGCAATCTATTGTGTGAATTTTCTGACTCTGGGCTTGTTCTCCAATTCTCATACAGAATATCATTGGCCTCTCCCAATTCACTCTTATTTCTTCTTTCTCACAGCCTGACTAGATTTTTTTATCATCCACCTCTTGCTCTTTGGAAGTGATTTCCCCATACTTACAACCTAAATAGCTTGAGAAGGGCCATTTTCTCCCAAGAGTTTTAAATAAATTGGAAGAACCTTTCTTTTGAAGGACAGAATTCCATACCAATTTAAATTTTGGTAGTTCTTGTATTAGATAATTGATTTAAATGGATCACACATATATATGTATCTATATCTATATCATCTCCTATTATCTCTATCTAAATATCTACTATATCTATATCTACATCTATATATCTACATCTGTTTGTGTCTATATCTATCTGTCTCTCTCATCTCGATCTCTATATCTATATGTATCTGCATCTGTATTTGTATCTCTCTCTCATCTATATCTATATTGTACTGTTAGTTTCTTAATGCTGGTTTGCAGTGAATTCTGGCTAAATGTAAACTGTTTACATAAAAAATATTGCTACTAAAAGGTCAGAAAGTGGCATTCATACTTATAGGATACATTAAAGCAAACAAATAAACGGAAGGAAATGTTGATATGTAATGCAATAGTATCAAATTTTTACTTCAGTATCTGAATAGAGATGAGATGAAAGGAAAGTAGAAAGGGAGTTCAAATTATGCACAGTTCTGGGGAAAGCAAGTGGGAAGAAGCTCATTCTTGATGTGGCCCATGCTGATGAGGAAGAAAAAAGCAAGTCCTAGTTAAGCAAGATCATCTCTTGAGAACCAGCCTGAATGTTAGAAAGCCCAGTCTTCCAACCTTTTGAAAGAATTTTAGATCAGTAGGGTATTGGTAAGTGAAGTTTGGCACTTAACAAACTATAACTCCCCAGAAGGAAATTTTCTCCATCTGTAATGGTATGTGGGAAAGATTTTATTTATTTATTTATTAGATTTTTATACCGCCCCCTCTCCCGAAGGACTCGGGGCGGTGAACAGCCATGCAGATCTTGAAGAGTTATGCCTGCCCAAAGAATTAAGGACCCATTGGGATCCCCATATCAAAACAATTTACCTTATGTGTGGCCAGAACATGAAATTAACACAGTACAGTACTTAAGCAAAATGGTTTGGTTGAGATATGCATATGTGGGACTGATTGGGGTAGATTGCAGGGGTGACACCAAAATATAATTTTATCATACTTAATTATATCTCAAATTACTGTATTTTATTCCAATTTCATTTTAAATTGCTTTTATCAAATTTTAGTAATAATTTATTTTTGGAACTCTGCACTTTAATATGGCCCAAGAGCTAATCAATCAATCAATAAAGGTTATTAAAGTTGAAAAGAGATGGGGCAAAGAGTAGCTATGAAGAGGGCAGCCAGAGAATAACCTACAGTGGGATAGTGAATGGCATAAGAGACTCTGAAGGGCTTTCTCTAGTTTCTTGGGGGTGGAGCAGAGGTGATATTCAGCAGGTTCTGACCAGTTCTGGAGAACCGGTAGTAGAAATTTTGATTAGTTCGAAGAACTGGTAAATACCACCTCTGATTGGCCCTGCCCCCATCTAGTCTCTGTCTTCCGAGTCCCAGCTGATTGAGAGGAAATGGGGATTTTGCAGGAATCTTCCCCTGGAATGGGGAGAGAATGGAGATTTTACAATTGTTACTTGGCTGCTTTGTTACGGGAATTAATCAGCAGCTGGAGTTAAGGCGTTTGAGCATGCGCCCTTGGTGGTAGTGGAGCTTCATGCTCCCATTCTCCTCAGTCCCAGTCGCCATTTTGTGATGGGGCGAAGTTGCGTCAGCTCCCACCGCCATTTTGTAAAGGCGAAGGCGGCGTGTGGAGACTTCCTCAGAATCGCTGCTTGCCCTTGGGTGCCACAGCCTTGCCTTCCTAAGCCTTGAGCCATAGCTACACACAACCTTGAACATTGTCAGGCCCTCTTTGAAGGAGTACAGTTCCTCTGGGTTACAACTGCTTAGGGCCTCCTTTTACATCTGCGAGCACCATACAGCCCTTATTGGCTTACCCGGCAGTTACCACATTAACCCTTTGGGTTTCTGGCTTCATCAAGCTTAAAGCTATTGCAAAATCAAAACATGGCCACAAGGCAACCATCCGTCAGCAGTCAAGGTCTTCCCAGAGGAATGATACCTTGTAGTCTCTGGAGAACAAAGTCTCCAAGCAGACTCGTCAGGTGGATTCACATTCTGGGAAGGCATCCTGTGGAGATAAGGGCAGAGACTTAATTCGGCGACAGACCAGTGATAAGGCTGGTGAGCCTCAGGCTACAGCCGCCATGCTTGCTTCAGGGGCACGGAGGTGTGATCCTCCTTTGACCCTAGATCAATTGTCACTGCAAGACTACCCCCTTTCAGATGAATCATCTAACTTATGGGGATCTGGCTTTCCTGTGACTCTGTCAACACAGTGGAGTCTAGCGCTCCCACCCTTACAGTGGCACGTCCACTTCCTTCTTCTTCTGCTCTGGTTCAAGCCTCTACAGAGGCTGAACCGGCCCGGCACAATGTCCAAACCTATTTGCGACTTGAGGACATTCAGCAAATGATTTTGGTGGCAGTACAACAATCCCTGTCAGCCCATTTGTTGTCTACATCCAGACAGGAGGCCGCCCACTCGGTTCACTCCGATCCCTCGACCTCGCCTGACAGGGTCGATATGGAGGATGCCATTTTGCTGGCAGGCTCGGATTCTCCGGCCGTTTCCTGTGTCAGTAAGCCGTCTCTCCTGGACGAATTGGAGAGCCTGAATTGTCAGAGGATGAAGGTTTACCTCCTGATCAACCTGCATTCACAGGATTGTTTTCCCAGGCTTTCTTCAAGTCGCTGCTCTTCAAGGCGGTAAATACTGCTCAGCTTGGGACTGCTACTCCTCAACCTGAACCTTCCCCGGCACCAGGTTCCTTGAACCCTTTGCTTGCCAAACCCTCCAAACCAGTCACCGCCATTCCGACTCCTCCTCTCTTCATGGATGTCATCAAGCGGCAATGGGCGTTGCCTGACTCAGCCCCGGCTCCTTCATTGATGGGTAGGAAGAATTTTACCTCCTCTTCTGAGCTGACTAACTTGCTCCAGGGGCCCTCTGTTGATGCTCCAGTGGCGGCCTTGCTGACCTCTACCTCGGTTCCTGGTGACCCAGAAGAGGGTTTTCGGCCAGAAGAGCGCAGGTCGGAGCAGGTTCTTCAGCGGGCTCATCTCGGAGCAGCCTGGGCCATCAAAGCCGCCTCCACAGCTTCATTCTTCAATCGCTCGACTCTCCTGTGGCTTCGCCAGCTACAGGATAAAATCTCCTCTGACGACTCAAGATTGAAGCAGGATTTGAACAAGATTGTAGCTGCCACGCAGTTCTCTGCAGATGCTACTTTGAATGCGGCCCGGTTTGCAGCTAAATCCTTGGCTTCCTCCATTGCGGCCCGCCCTTTAGTGTGGCTTCGCCACTGGCAGGCTGACGCTAGACATAAATGGTGTTTGGCATCAGTCCCCTTTTTGGGCACAAAATTGTTTGGGGAACCACTAGACACTTTCCTCGTGGAAACCAAAGATAAGAGGAAAATAT